AGGGAGTGCAGGAGTTGGAAAATCATCATTTTGTTGATTAGCTCAGGCAAGAATTATCAATAGATGCTAAATCTAGGAGGAAATTTTTGATGAGGAGTAGGATATCTGCATGGATTTATAGCTGCTTCCGTACAGACTGTTTATTAGTAGCAAAGAAGGAGGAAAAAAACCCCAGTAATTATATAACTGAGAAATTGGGCAACACCTTTTTTTAAAAGATTTTATTTATTTATTTGACAAACAGAGATCAAAGTAGGCAGAGAGGCAGGCAGAGAGAGGGGGGTGGCGAAGCAGGCTCCCTGCTGATCAGAGAGCCCGATGCAGGGCTCCATCCCAGGACCCTGGTATCATGACCTGAGCTAAAGGCAGAGGCTTTAACCCACTGAGCCATCCAGGCGCCCCTGGGCAACACTTGACCCAAAATGAGAACAATCTATTTTTTAAATGGGATTTTTAAGATATCAATGTCATGAGGCACCTGGATGGCTCAGTGGGTTAAGCGTCCAACTCTGGATTTCACCTTCTACACCTCTCAGGGTTGTAAGATCGAGCCCCGTGTTGGGCTCTACATTGGGTATGGAGCCTGCTTAAGATTCTTTCTCTCCGGGCGCCTGGGTGGCTCAGTGGGTTAAAGCCTCTGCCTTCAGCTCAGGTCATGATCCCAGGGTCCTGGGATGGAGCCCTGCATCAGGCTCTCTGCTCAGCAGGGAGCCTGCTTCCTCCTCTCTCTGCCTGTCTCTCTGCCTACTTGTAATCTCTGTCTGTCAAATAAATAAATAAAATCTTTAAAAAAAAAATTCTTTCTCTCCCTCTCCATCTGCCCCGCCCCGCCCCCCAAAATATATATGTACATCAATATCAAAAAAGACAAAGAGGGGCGCCTGGGTGGCTCAGTGGGTTAAAGCCTCTGCCTTCGGCTCAGGTCATGATGCCACGGTCCTGGGATGGAGCCCCGCGTCAGGCTCTCTGCTCAGCAGGGAGCCTGCTTCCCCCCCCCTGTCTCTCTGCCTGCCTCTCTGCCTACTTGTGATCTCTGTATGTCAAATAAATAAAATCTTAAAAAAAAAAGACAAAGAAAGATTCTATATTAAAGGAGAATAAAGAGGGATGCCTGGGTGGCTCAGTCAGTTAAGCATCTGCCTTCGGCTCAGGTCATGATCCCAGGGTCCTGGGATCAAGTCCCACATCAGGCTCCCTGCTCAGTGGAGGGTCTGCTTCTCCCTCTCCATCTGTCTCTCCCCCTGCTTGTGCTCTTTCTCTCTCAAATGAATAAATAAAATCTTTTAAAAATTAAAAAAAAATAAAGGAGAATAAAGAGACAGGACACAATGGGTGATCCTAGACCAAATCCTATATGGAAGAAAAAAATGCTATAAAGCATGTTATTCGATAGATGATGGTGTTGTAAAAATGCTAAATTTAATGAAGTCAGTAACTGTGGTTACGTAAGAGAATATCCTTATTATTAGGAAATGCCCACTGGAATATTTAGGGGTAAAGAGCCATGATACAGGGGTGCCTGGGTGGCTCAGTGGCTTAAGCCTCTGCCTTCGGCTCAGGTCATGATCTCAGGGTCCTGGAATCGAACCTCGCATCGGGCTCTCTGCTTGGCAGGGAGCCTGCTTCCCTCCCCCCTCTTCCTGCCTCTTGCCTCCTTGTGATTGCTCTCCCTGTCAAATAAATAAATAAAATCTTAAAAAAAAGAGCCATGATACATGTAAATGACCTTCAAATGGTTCAGAAAAAATATGTATAGCCATCTGTAGATCTATATCTGTATATACAGAGCGCACAACGATAAACCAAACGGGCCAAATGTTATCAGCTGGTGAATCCGAGTCAAGAGTATGCAGATATACTTTATAGCAGTCTCACAACTTAATTCCAAAATTAAATGTTTGGAAAGTGCATTAGCTCCCTACATTGCTGAAGAATCTCAATCTTGCTACATCTTGGTGATTTTTGGTTGTGTGGCCGGCTCTTTGCGGAGCTCTCTGAAGGGCTGTAAATTATGTTCCAACCCTTTGGAAGCTTGACATCTCTTGAGGAGGGAAGTCTCTCAAATAGGAGGCAGAAAAGATCATAAAAGTTCAACTAGGAAGTTTGAAAATGGAGAAGAGATCGGGATATGTGGATGTGGATGGGATCAAGAAAGACTTCAAGGAGAAGGTGGGGTCTGAGCCCCGAAAGTAGGATTCAAATCGGTAGAAGGTATTTCAGACAAAGCCAACAAATAGTTTGCATATCTCCAGGAGAGGCTGGTGCAGACTGATGAGTGGAATGAAGGCTGGGTATTAGGAAGGACTGGAGAATAGCGTTGAGTAGATAAGATGCGGCTGGACCGTGAGTTCCTCAAGAGCAGTGTCTACCTAGATCTCCTACAACAGTATCCCCCACAGCGCAGGCACAGGGTCAAACCCATGGGAGGAGTTCAATATATCCTTATTATTGGATTGAGAACAAGTAATTTAAGCCCCAAACCAAGATAAGGAGTTTGGCCCCAAGTCTATATATAACAGATTGATGTATAATTTTTTATAGATATTGAGCCCAGGGTAGGTTCCTTCTAAAGCCCAAGCCAGGTGAGCTAAGAGGTAGTGCAGGGGCTGGACAGACACCCATGTTAAGGTAGTTCCAGGTGGCAAAGCCACTGTGGGGTTCTACTGTGTGATACACAGCTCTTTCCAGGGGGACCTGTATTTTAAAAGAATGACCTCGCAAGAAAGCTGCACTTTTGGTAAAGGGAGGAATCTTCCCAAGTGGGGGCATTTCAGATAGGAGAGGATACTGCTTAACCTCAGGGCTTATAGCTGGAGGCCTGGCTGCTAGGCTCTGTTGAGGGTTTTTGAGGCCTGGTTCTCTCCCTAGAAGCAGTTGGCATTGTCACCGGCTTCAAAAGTGTCCCAGGGGCAGGCCCTCATTGCCACAGCAGGCCCCTGCCCACATGTCCATTGTTCTAGGAGAACTGTATGCAAATTTTAGTTAAACACGCCCCCCCCAACTCACTTGCATTAAGTCTTCAGCCATTTGTCTTCATTTCTGATTTCTTTTATTTTTAAAAGATTTTATTTATTTATTTGAGAAAGGGAAAGAGAGCATAAGCAGGGAGAGTGGGAGAGGGAGAAGCAGGCCCCCCCCGCAGAGCAAGGAGCCCAATGCGGGGTTCAATCCCAGGACCCTGGGATCATGACCTGAGCTGAAGACAGATGCTTAACCGACTGAGCCACCCAGGCATCCCTATTTGCAATTTCCTTTAACTGGCCAGTTACCTCTAATGCCTTTAGGTTCAATGATACACCAACCAACAAACCATGGCTCACAGGCCAAATCTGCTCCCCCTGCCTGCATTTGGAAAGCCTTCATGCTAAGAATGTTTTTGCATTTTCCAGTGGTTGAAAAAAAATCAAAAGGATAATAATTCAGGACACAGGGAAATGAAATTCACGTGTGAATTTCAAATTTCTGTATCTACAAATACAGTTTTATTGGCACCTAGCCATGTTCATCCTTCTCCATATTATCTACGGCTGTTTTTGTGCTGGAGTGAACAGTTGCAGAGGCCACATTGCTGCAAAGCCTAAAATAACTTACCAGCTGGGGGCGCCTGGGTGGCTCAGTTGGTTAAGCTGCTGCCTTTGGCTCAGGTCATGATCCCGGGGTCCTGGAATCGAGTCCCACATCGGGCTCCTTGCTCAGCAGGGAGCCTGCTTCTCCCTCTGCCTCTGCCTGCCTCTCTGTCTGCCTGTGCTCACTCTCTCTGACAAATAAATAAATAAAATCTTAAAAAAATAAAGTTAAAAAAAAATAACTTACCGGCTGGTCCTGTATAGAAGTTTGCTGACCCCTGGCCTACAACAATGGTTCTCAATATGGGACGATTTTGCCCTCCAGGAGACATACGGCAATGTCTGGGGACATTTTGGGTTATCACAGCTTGGGGGGAGGGAGAGTGCTAAACACGCTATAATGCATAGGACGGCCCCTACGACAAAGAATTCTCTGGCCTCGAATGTCAATAGTGCTGAGGTTGAGAAACCCTGGATTAGAGGAACCTAAGTTACTTCAAGTAAAGGGAAAACTCCATCCTTAATAAGTGATGTGGTTTATTGAACCAGGTTGTTAATTTTCATTTGCTCATGTAGATTTCACAATCACCCTGCAAAGCAATTACTTCTATTCTCCTTTTACAGAAAAGTTTTTACCCCAACTTGCCCCAGAGCACACAGCAAGAGTGTCGGGCTCCAGCGCCCCTATTTTTCCACACCCAGGGGCCTGCCAAGGCTCAGTGACGTCCTAAGCGAGTGTGTCTCTCTACTACCCTCTAGTGGGAGAGCTGCTCAAACGCAGGACAGTGTCGTTTCTCCCGGGATACTTCTCAGGTCTCTGGGTCTCCAGCCTCTGGCCAATCGGGAAATGAGACCAAGGAGAGAAAACCCCACCTCGACTGCAACCAGAATTGTAAAAAGCTGACCCTTCTCCCCTCTTGCCCACCTTAACGCTGGGGGCAACAGGAGGCTTCCCTCCCTGGTAGACCCAGGACGTAAAGTCCTACTTGCTATCTATGGAATGCTTTCCGAGTCATGAAGCATGGTCATATTCCGTGAATTCCCAGGACGCTCACATCACAGGAATAAATGAAAGAAAGACATGCGGGGCCGAGTTCTTTTCCTGCAGGAATTAAAACTCACCAGAATCTAGTTTTGCAGGATCTGGGACTCCACTTCCTCCTATCCTAGGTGACAATCAGCTCAATGCATCCGTTAAATCCATGCTAATAAAGGAAAATAGAGGACTTCCTGCCCACCTCCTGCCCGCCCCGTGGGAACTGTAGGCCCAAACGGCAAGAGGGGGGCACGGCAGCCCACTTGCGAAGATTATATATGGGCTTGCCTCCCTGAGCCACTGGGAGTCACCCACGTGGAAGGCAGCTACCCACTCCTCCCAGGGCAAATCGTGGTGGAACGCATCACCCAACGATTTAAGATCAGATCACACAGCCATGGAGCATTTCTTTGAATTTTATTGAAAATTGACATGGACATTAGAAAGGTATCAAGCTAAACAGTGCTGGTTTTGGGGTGTTTCTCCTGGCAAATGAAAGCCTCAGAGGGGCGGTGACCGGTCACACTTTTGAGCAAAAAGAACAAAGGAGAAGAAAGAAAAACACAGAGATTCTGGAAAACATGCAAAGAGGCTCTCTCAGGAGACACCAGACAGTGGAATGGCAATGACTGTAGGGATATACAGGAAAGAGCGCGCTTACATGGTATTTTGATGCAAGTTAAGCCAATGAATTCAAGGCAGATCTATGAACACGAAACTCTCCTTGCAGACCCCAGGTTGAGCAGAAACTTCTCTCAAAACCCCAAATGGCCCTGGAGGGTTGAATGGAGTAGTTTTGCTCTTACTAACCTTAAAGCCCCTTCTGTCTCTCCCTTCCCCACCTGAGAGTGAATGGATCCGTTTTCCCCCTTACTGGGGCAGGGGAGGGGTGAGTTCTGCAGAAGGCCTGTGAATGCTGAGGAGAGGACTGTCGCTTGACTTTCTCTTCCATATTCAGAAATGTTTAACAGTGAGTGGCCGTCGACAGTCAACCCATTGGACCGGAGAATTGGTGTTTAAAAAGGAAAACCGGGAAACTTGGGAACAGCGCTTCCACACCCATAGCTGTCTCCCGTCCCAGTCACTGACACTTGGGTGAGTCGTCCTGCGGCTCTCTCTCTCAGGTTACATTTGGCCCGTTCTCCAGCTCGGAAGGTTCTTTTCCTGCCTTGCTTAGGTTAGGACAAGACATTTCCATTTAAAATACCATGTAAGCCAGGAGAACCCTTGTGGAGTGTGGTGTGTGTTACGGGCCCAGTTTGAGGGGAGAAGGGGATTGGTTGGTTTCTGGTTTGAGACAAGATAATGGCAGTCTTCTCCTTGAGACTTAGTGCAGCTGCTGAAGACAAGATTAAAAAAAGCTGGAGAGGGAGAGAGAAAGAGAAAGAAAACATGAAATTAGCCAAAGAGAAAGGACGTTCAGAGTAAGACCAGGCAAGGGGCGTGGGTCGCGTGAGGCAGCACAGATGATACTAGAAGACAGGTTAGGAAGGGGGTCACCGACAGACCGGAACCGCCGGAAGTCTGCTGAGATTTTTAAGAACACCACACACCGGTTTGAAGCTTCTTGTTTTAATAATAATTAAAAAAAAACCCAGCCACGTGTGAATGCCAAATGATTAAAACCAGAACCAAAAGTGATTCGCACCGCAGCGAGGAAAAGGAAACTTCTTGGCTTAAGAGAAATGGTGTGTGTGTGTGTGTGATCACATGTGGGAATTTTTCAGGAAAGCCATTCCATTCCAGTCTGGGAAAATACTGACTGGATTTGTCTCACCGGAGGTTAACAGAGTACTTAAGGGTATTTAAAACAACAACAACAACAACAATTGTACGAATTACAAAGAAAAAAACCGTTTCTGTCTACAGTGAGAAAACTACCCAGGAAAAGAACTATTTTTTTTTTTCCACGTCAGATGGGTAATGTGCCGAGGTCATAACAAGGTTTGAGGGTGGCACATGTCACACAGGAGCGTGAACACCCAATCATCACGCTTATGAACTACAAAAAGAACTATGTTAATCCTTTTAGTTGACTTCAGAAAGGCCTCCTGCTCCCTCGCAGGTTAGATTTTTTCCTTTACCAAACTTCCTTAATTACAAGGGTCCTGTAAAGCACCTGTTCCACACTCACTTGCCTGGGCCCCCATCCAGAGTTCAGGAAAGCGGTCCTGTTGGCTGGTCAACAGGCACCGTCAGCAGAAACGCTCAGCTCAGAAGCTGGCCTGGAGTCCTCTGCTTTGCCGGCCCCCACCCACGCCCTCCTCAGATAGTTTCCTATGGGGGTAAGGGGAACCCTCAAAGGCCCTGTGATGTCAACTATCCGTTTTCTCCAAACATTAAAAGACCTGGGTCTCCAGCAACAGAGAGGAACAGGCTGAATCCGTTTGTGACACGGAGCCGGGGTCAGGAGACACTGAATTTCGCCTGGTTTCCGCCGCAGAACAGCACTGGGACATCGGGCCAGTCCCTCGGCTTCTCCAGCTCTCCATTTCCTTTGGGTCGTATCTGTTTGATGAACCAAAATTTCTCCCTGGCCCCGCCCTTCCCGCCTAGTCCCTGAAGTTCTCCCAAAGCTGGCTGGCGGGTCTACTACTTTTGAAGTTTTCAGAGCTCCTCGGGCCTCAAGTAGTTAATATGTAAACCAATGCAAATGAGAAGCCCCCCCATTTGTGATGCAAATGATAACCGGGGGAAATGGAAATGGTGGTCGGCTGGTTGTTTGAGTTTGAGATTCTTGGGAAAGAGCTGTTAAGACTGGACACCAAGACAGCAAAGCTGCAAATGCGATGCCTTTCCCAAGGACACCTGCCAGCCCTAATGTCGGATCTCTCCGAGCTACTGATGGAATATCGTTTTTTGTTTGTTTTGTTTTGAACCTCCAAGCATGGGATCTCCTAAAATCCTCCCCTAGGAGACTTGGATTTTTCTCAAGAAACTCCAAATTTGCCTCTGGCCACTAACCAATGAGTGACTCATCCAACACTACACATAAAAACTGCACTCTTGCTCTGCCAACAAGAACAGAGAACATGTGCATACATTCGTTTCTTGTTGCTTCTACTTTTCGCTTCCCGTATTATTTACAATCTCTTAGGGAAGAGAGGAAAGCCCCTCCCCATCCTCAGCACTTCGGAAAGCCCTGAAAATTTGGCATAGCCTGGTTTTACTATGTGTTTTTTTTGGGGGGGGGGAAGTGATCCCCTTCCCCCCCAAAAAAACCTAAAAAAAAAAAAGTAAAGAAGAAGGTCGTGATCATTGCCAGCGGACTCGGAGGCAGAACTCAGAAGGAGAGGTGGGACTCAGAGTGGAAGTCCGTGGCTGGGGCGTGGGTGGGGGGCAGGGGGGTACTGTCTGTCCCCTCCCCCAAAGGAAAGCTATCAGTTAAAATAGGAACCTTGGCTTAAAAGGCTAAATGGAGTCCAGTCCAGCTGTAGCGGGGAATACTATTCAGTACACAGCCATGGATTACTGCAAAGGAAGGGCAGAGAAACGGCGCATTAGCCACACATTATTGCCACGTGACCTTCAGCTCGCTCTCTTGCTCTCTCTCTCGCTGGCCAAACACCAAAGGATGCTGTACCTTGTGGCCCTGACAATGGAGGGCTCTCTACTTCAAAGGGGTTCCCAAAGCCACTATCCGATAGGACCGTTACAAAAATTGTTTTAAATATCACATCCAGATAAAGTTAGGGACCTTCCCAGACAGAACCCCTCTTCTCTCCTCCCCAGCAGACAATCTCGCCTCTTCTTATGGGTGGGTGGGTGGGGGGGGGGGACACATGCAAAACACAGGTTAAAATTCATTCCATGCACCAACTAAAGACTAGAAGACGCATCAGAGCAAAGCTGAAAACATTGCTTCTTTGACCTTGCAGTCTGGTAGTTTCCAGCATGAACCTGCAACTAGGCCTGCCTGAGTGGAACGGAGATACTGAGACACCTCAGAATTCCAGAAGTCTATCATTGAAGACACTAGGCTGATAATAACATTCAGGTTTATTCTCCCTTCTGCATTTGTGGGGTATCTGGAATTAGAGAGAGCAGAGGTTTACGGTCTTTTCTTCAGCAGTCATGTTTTCTGGAAAGGACTTGGTTCTGGATTTTTAACACAACTTGGGTGCAACTTACTTGGAGCAACTCAAAACTGGAAAAGGCGGGGCTGAGAGGCCTGAAGAAAAAGGCACCAGAGGATCTCCTTTTGGAGCTCTCTCAGAAGGGACCATGGCTCCTGTTGGGGGTTAGGAGGGAGTCAGGGAAGCCCAGTGCATGGGGACTAACTGGGACTCACTGGCACTTATGCAGCCATGGTGGAGGCAAATACTTCAGGGAAACAAGCAGCAATCAGAATTCGAACAGGGAAGCTGGTGGTGGAGAGTAGGAGATGGGACCCTCGAACATGTTACAGTCTGGCAAAGATGGCGGGGGAGTGGCTGGCGGTGGTGGGCGGGGGGGGGTGCGGAGGGACTGGGATGCAGGAGGCATCTCCACTTCCAAGCCACGTGACTGCTGGCTTCTTGACCAGAGGCCAGACACCATCCTCAGACTCCCAGGTTTCTATAAACTTTGGCAGGAAAAGAGGGGAGGGCACGGGTTGTGTGCCCCCTCAGGCATGTTAAGGGGGGATTAGAGAAAGGGAGGCCCAGCTCTGTCGCGCAGGAAAAGGGCGTCTACAGGAAGCCCAAACTGAAAATGAAAAGAGAAGTTGGGTTAATGAATGGATGGATTAATGTACAACAACAACAACAAAAGGTTAGAAGGAAACTGTCGTGATGGCTAATGGATAAATTAGGATATAGCTATGTTAGAATAAGGTCTTATTGCATTGGCTCCTGGAAACATGCTTTCTCTCTCACATACCCCCATACCCCTCAGAGTGACAGGAGAGTGGCTTTAGCTAAGCAAAATAATTATCAACAGCCAAAGAGTACTTTCTCTCTTCCTAATTACTAGGTCCTGATGCCCCGCCCCAAGACACCGTACAGGAGTCCACTCAGCAAATCTCCAACCAGGGGTCCTCAGGCCACTGGGCAGAGTGCCAGGCTCTTGGCCACGGCTTCCCTTGTACCACAGGGAAAGCAGAGGGCGTGGGGGTTTCTCCACAGGTAGACTCTGGAGCAGCCCCACTTAACTAACTGGTACCTTGAGGCAGGACTGGGAAGTATCTGGAGATGGTTGAGGGGTGTGCAGTAGGGTCCAGACCGCAGTTACCTGCCACTAACTCATTTTGGGAGCCTCGGTAAGCCTCTGAAATTCCCCACTCCTCCATCCGTTTGTCTTGCAAACTGAAGACTATTCCTTTCTTCTCTGCCTCACAGGATTGTTGCAAGGGGAAAATAGTATGTCGTCTGGAGAAACGCTTTGGAAAGTTTTAAAATGCCACACAAGGGGCGCCTGGGTGGCTCAGCGGGTTAAAGCCTCTGCCTTCGCTCAGGTCATGATCTCAGGGTCCTGGGATCGAGCCCCGCATCCAGCTCTCTGCTCAGCGGGAAGCCTGCTTCCTCCTCTCTCTCTGCCTGCCTCTCTGCCTACTGGTGATCTGTCAAATAAATAAATAAAATCTTAAGAAAAAAAAAGCCACACAAATGCTCACCCCTTATTCTAGTCTTTGTCTACTTCCCGTGGGAGGAGAAACCTAAACAACATGGCGACAGCCTATGCTCTGGGCAGCGTGGGCGGGCGGACACATTTTGGTACGTGTATCCTGTCCACATCCTGTGTGCGTGCGCGTGCACACACACACACACACACACCCCACGGGCCAAGGGGCCAGAAACCATTAAGATAACGGTATGTACAACTGTGTAGGGGTCCCAGAGGAATATCTCTTGCAAGTGCAGACTGCGGGCCCCTAGAGCCTCCAGACATTTCAAAACCAGGGAGGAACAGCAAGCCTCCCCTTGCCCATGCTGCAGTTAATGAGTGGTGGCCTTTGTGATCTGCCCCTGGAATGAGGGCTTTGAAGGAGGGGACAGGCTGCCCTTGTGGCTTTCAGATGCCCTGGAGCCCAGGCCGCCCTCCCTTACTTGGTTTGGGACCGTCCTCATAGTCTGCTGGGGAGAAGCCTGCCAGGAAAAGCCGATCTACTTGGGGTTGGGGTGAGCTGTTCCCACTGGTTGCCAACTGTCTCTCACTTGTACAGCATGGCTTTAATTATAGTTTTGCCAGAATTCATTTTTGTAATGGCTACTAACAATGATTTACTCAGGAAAACATGAACCAAACTGTGTCAGGTCTTGGGCACTGCAACCAAAGTCAACCAAAGTCTAACCCACCAGGATTCGTCTTTGCTGTGGTCCTCCCTGAAAACAGGGGGGCAAATACGCAGAGCCCCTAGAGGCGTCGGACACTTTGCTGGAGGCCTGAGAGCCACAGCAGTGGACAGACACTCTAGGAATTCCAAGTCTTCCCAAATGGAGATCTGCAGCTTTATTCCCATCAACTAATAGGGTCTCCAAGACTTGCCTTTAAGCCAGACAATAAATCATTGCATTATTCTTTTAGGGTTGTTTCCTTTGGCCCAATTTCAGGGGCCTTGTGTTTCAGAAGCCTCTGGGGACTTCCTCCTGGAGATTTGCTTGAAATTAGGATGTCTTGCCAGCTGCCCGAAGTCCCCAGACCGATACTGCCAGCCACGGGTTTGGCGAATAACAGCAGGCTGTCCATTTAAATCATAAACTACATTGTGGGGAGAAGCCTTCTTGATAGTTTACATTCCGTGATCCAGACAAGGTAAATGTGGAAGGCGTTTATGAGACAGCCGGGGTATTTGGAACACTGGCTAGAATGTGATGGTAACAAATTGTGCATTTTGTAGGTGTGGTAACGGTGGCGTTGTGGTTATGGTTTTTTTTTTTTTTTTTTAAGAGTCATCATCTCCCAGAGACCCCTGCGTAAGTACTGACAGATGAAATGATATGGCTTTTGCTTTACAGGAATCCAGCAGGTTTGGGGATTAACAGATGAGATGGCATTGGCCATATCTTGAGAGTTTTTTTGGGGACTGGGCTGTGGACACACGGGGTTACATTATACTCTCTTCTCTCTTGTTCCTATCTGGAAGCTTCTATGGCCGAGTTTAAAAAATAGCAGTAAGCCTAATTCTGTGAAACATATACTTATGTTCCCTTGCTACTCACTGAGTCTAGAAGAATAGATAAAAGGTGCTTGATCGTTGCTATAATTAATTTATAAGCTACATGATGCCAAGGACTGTTTTCACTCCACAGACATACCAGCCCTCAGGAATCCATAATGCCAAAGGTTGCCTACTTGCCTTCTTATCGAAGGAGTTCAGGCAGCTGGTCTTTACAGAATGACATGTAAGGAAATCTCTATAATATTTTAAACCTCATTTTCTTCCATTTTTATTATGGGTTTTTTTTGGGGAAGGGGGTTGGGCACAGAGCCAAAGGCAAATTTGAGAACTTGAACCCCTTGAATAAGAAACGGCCACCAGAGGGAAACAGAGAAGCAAGTTTCCGTTGACTTGGAACATTCCCAAACCTGGGGTTCAATGTCAACCCTGACATTATAGGACAGACCAGCGAGCCCATTGATTTCCCTCATCACTACCCATTAGTTAATTCTGAAAGCGATGATTAGGGCACTTTTAAGAGAAAAAAACAGCCACAATTGACACTTCAGCTACCCATCACAGAATCCACCTAGGCTACCCAGCCGTCGCAGCGGCAAGTCTGAAAACACTCCGCTTGTCCCCACGCAGGCCAACATTCCACACGTACCCTGGAGACTACAGCGAACTGTTGCTTAATGCTGTCAGTCACAAGAGCTAGGACCGTGAAGCAGCTTTTTGGTGACTGAGTATGTGTGTTGAGTGGAGGGAGGGATTTGGGGAGATGTGTTCTAGAAGCCACCACCAGTTCGACTGAGAGTTAATAAAGCTTACCAGGACCTGGGTCTCATGCAGCATGCAGCAAACAGCAGAGTTAACTGTAAAACAGTAAGAGCTGATGAAGAGAGAGTGAGCTTGAGGACAAATCCAATTTTATGAGTTGACGCAAACAATGAAGGGTTAGCGATCAAAGGAAATGAGGAAGAGTGGGGTTGGGGGAGAGGGAGGGTGGGCGGGTAGGGACCCCTGAACCATGGGCACTCTTTCTTAACCTCTGGAGAAGACATGTCTCGCTATGGAGGATCTTCTGCCTGGAGCGGAAGAGGGGGGATCTGTCCACAAGAGAACACTAGGAGGGAGCGCCTGGTCTGGGAGGAACTTCAAGTGAGCATCTGAATAGGGAATATTTACAGTTTAGTGTCAGTTTAGTGTCAGGCTGTGAGGCTGGCCTGGGGACTGAGTTCACAAATATCCCAGGCCAAGAAGGTAGCAGGTTAGAGCTGGAGGACAAATTTAGTTTTTTCCAATCTTAAAAATAGGAACCCATTCTTGCTGGTGTGACTCACACACAATCCCAGATCAGTTAATATACGGCGTGTCCAAAGAGGCTTTTTTCTGGCTAGTTAAACTTTGTCCTTCAGGTAACACCAAAACAAGTTCATTAATCCGTGAATCTGACACAGAGTCTGGGGACTCAGTAACACAAATTTCTGGGCCCATGGGTGACAATGTTCAAATTACACTTTTGAATAGTTAGATTGGGGCACTGAGTGCGTTCAGATAGTAACTACTTTACTGTTGTGCCGAAGCCACCGTTTTATTCCTAAGTGATCAGTTGAGGCAGGAACAAGTCGCTAAGAACAGAAGGTAAAGATCGTGGACGCCTTGTAGATCCTGGGGTCCCTTTGGTAAGGACGTGGCCCAGGACTCCCCGTGAGGGCTTCCCGTGTCACACTGTGCAAGCAACTAGAGCACAGGGGACCTCTGGATAAGTCCCACTGGGAATCCTTTCCTCTCCTCTGGCTCCGGGATGCCGAACGGGGAGCTCGGGCCAGCAAAGCCTCGAGGCAGCTCAGGGTTATGGGCCCGCACAGGAGCAGGAGCCCGTGCTGTCCTGCCTTACCAAGTACCGGGGGGACGGACAGACTCTACAGTCACTGCCCAGCTTGAGGTTGGGGCACACGGAGTCTACTAGCACCTGGGGGCTCCCCACCAAGTACTCACCACCCGACAATGATGCAGCCAAGAGGGAGGGATGGCACAAACTGGGAGAACCGGACTGGGCTGCAGCCTTCAGTAAAAGCAGTTAAACTGCTGGCTGTAGCTAAGTGAGAAGCGGGTTGGGGGGCTAGAGGCATGGGGAGGTGAATACCTCAGACACGGGATGAACAAGCAGGCCCGTAAGCCACATCACCGCCAAGCTCTCGGGGAGAAAGAGGGTGCCTGGGGGCTTCTGCTAAGGCGGGCTCTCTCCTCTACCCTCTAAGCACTCCTCCTCCTTCACCTGTTCCTTGCAATTCTGCAGATCTCATGGTTTCCTCCTTTCTTTCTCCCCTCCCATGCTCCGTTTGCCCCCCTTCTGTCCCTCCCTCCCCTGCTACCTGGACCTTGCCGGGGTTTCCCACCCAGCCAAGCAGGGGGGCCGGGCCCCCGGGACCACAGCCCGCCCCTACTCTCCGTTCCCCCAACTCAGGGGACACGGAGAACAGTGAAAGGGACCCAAACGCGAAACGCACCTGTCAGCCCACAGCCCACCTCTGGCCACCAGCCCTCGCCCCCTGCCCAGTCTGCAGGCCCTGTGCTGAGGGGACGAGCAGGAGGAGAGAGAAGCCACAGCCCCGGAGCAGCCCACCACTTACTTTTTCTTCTCTTTGTCCCTTTTCAGAGTCTGTGAGCCTCCAGCCTGGGAGCCCTGGGACTGGAGCAGCTCGGCCGCTGTCTTTCTCTGTTTGAAGGCGTTCACTTCATCGTCCAGGGACTTCTTCTTATCCTCCAGCTTCTTCTTCTCATCCTGGTGTAGCTTCTTTAGACGGTCAAACTTTTCATGCAGCTGGCAGGGAAGCACAGGGGGTCTGAGGAGAGGCCCCCTGGGAGCGGCTCCTCACGGAGCCAAGTCCAGGGCAGGTGGGAACCGGCGGGACCGGCGGGGACCTGAGGAGACATTTCTGCCAAGGATTGCTGTGATGGCACCAGAGGGCATGGTGTCTGCGGTAGGTCCCTCCCCTGCCACCTCATCTCCAAGTCTCTGCTCTTGAATGTGGTCAGGGGACTGTTATTAATGTCTATTAATTAAAAATTAGTATCAAGAACCGTTCTGGTGTTATTTGTATTTTATGAGGAAACAGGGCAGAGAAGTGAAGGAATTTGCCCAAGGTTAATCCACACTTCGGAGGATTATATGGCAAGATGGCCCAATATGAGAGGGGGCCTCTGCCTTTCCTACTCCCTCTGGTCAAGGAGGATCACCACAGTTTGCAGGGAAAACTTCAGCAGTGCCGAAGCTGGTCAAAGAAAATACTTGTCCTCAGACATGGAAGGAGATGAAAGGATTTTATAAAATGGAATGAGTGCAGAGACCTCAGCTTTGACCAAGGGGAGACTCAGCTAGCCCTGGATAGAACCCAGACACCCAGAGGAGAACGGTAAGAACATTCCGGCACGCCACTGTGCTAACAAACCAGAACGTGATAAAGTCCCCTGAATACCAAGTATAACCTCACTTTCTTTTGAGGGTTCTGGAGAGAATTTAGGATTCCGTAGCAATCAAATCCTACCACAGAGGAGGACAGGTGTCCGGGTCCTGTAAGTGTTTGGGACTACCACTCAGTAAGGGGAGATGGATGACAGGCTGCCTGAACAGATCAGCTTTTACTCGTCCCCTGGGGTACGGTCGTGGAAGCTGTGGCCACCCATTTGCCCTAACCTGGCTTTAGTTCACTGGCCTTTCACTCATTTATCTTTGAGAACCCCTCGTGTCTTTGCTCCAATGTACCGGGTGGCATTTTGCTTTTGAAAAAGTGAAACTGAAAAACAAATCAATATGCATGCCATGGACTTTTCCCTTGACTCTTGAGCAGCACTGCCCCATAGAACTTTCTGCGGTGATGGACATGTTCATAGCTGGGCTCTCCAATATGGTAGCCACCAGCTACAGGAGGACTGAGCATTTGAAACGGGGTTAATGCAACTGAGAAACTGAGTTTTACATTTTATTTCATTTTAGTCCATTTAAGTGTAAACAGCCACACGTGGCTAGTGGCTACGGGAGTGCGAGGCTCTAGAGAATTAAGGGACACAGAATGAGAACACATCCTAGCCTTGGGGAATGAGGGATCAAGAAGACACAGATCTCACAGCATCTTCGGTGCCAGTCAAGGCAGGGTTGCTGATGCCGGGCCCCATTCCTGCCTGGAAGCTTCGAGGCTCCTGCCGGCTATGTCCTTGGGGCAGAAGCCTCTGCTGAGTCCAAGCTGAGCCCCCTCTTCCTGTCTGTTGGGCAGTCAGGGTCACATTTACCTCTTTCTCTGCCTCTTTAAGTTCAGCTTCTTTCTCTTTGACTCTCTGGACAAACATCTGTCTCATCTCCTCTTCTTTTTTCTGGAGCTCCCCCAGGAACTCATTCCTTTTGGCCTCATATGTCTCCTGTAAGCTGCGAATACAGTCAGGTTAATTCCCCTGCCTTTGGAATGGCTCTTCATCAATGAAAACTGGCCCCAGTGATCCTCCCTGGGTACCCCCATCCTCCCTTTCCCCCATTCTGGGAGAGGTGCAAAGACAGAACCATAAAGCTGCAGGCAGTTGGCTTGGAGTGTGACCGCAGGGCCACGGGCTGCTCGCGGGGGCTGGGGTAGCCCTGGGGAACTGATAAGACACTTGGAACTGAAAGTGACTCCGAGCATCTGTTTCTCTGACCCGGTTACCCAGGTGAGGAAAGAGGACCAGAGAGGTGAGGCAATTTGCTCAAGGCCACATGGCTAGATAGAGGCAAGGCAGGAACCAGAAGCTGGGTCTCTGGTCTCTTAATCTGGGTCCTTCCTCTGCAACTCGCTCCTACATCCTGGCTCCGAAATGGACCATATTAGTAGACTATTTCAAAAAACACGTGGTGAGACTCCACCGTGTGCTAGACACAGGCCCAAGCAATGCTATGCTAGTTATTCAGCATCTAGAGCCAACAGCCACTGGGCCCACCACCAAGGAACTCACGGTTGGTCTACTGGGAAGTGCCCAGGCCAAGTCTCCCTGCCCCCAGCATCAGTTTTAAAACCACAGGAGTCAGCCTAGTGAAGAAGAGGAGGACTCATGCTCTGAAGAGGGCAGCAGGTGGAAAGGCACATGTGGAGAGACGATGATGCACTTGGGGAGCCGGGCAGGTCCAAGATGGCCGGAGAGGATCACAGAAGCTTTGGAGCAGAGGAAGGTGAGGTTCCCAAGTCCAGCGGGAGAGAGCAGGTGTTGGAGGTCGCCTTACACACTTGGCCTTTTAGCCACTGCAGGGTTTCAAGCAGGAGGACTGACTTCACGCCATTTGAAAATGAGAAAGACCCCTCCGGCTATTGCGTGAAGGACAGACTTCCCCACAGTCCAAAGAAGAAATGACGGGATGGCTCACTCCCACAAGAAAGCCGGAAAAAAACAATGAGATCTTGCCATTTGTCACAAGACAGATGGAGCCGGGGGTGGGCGGGGGGCGTAAGACCAAGTGAAAGGAGTCGGTCAGAGAAAGACAAATGCCAGGTGATTTCACCTGTATGTGCAACTTAAGAAACAAAAAAATGAACAAGGAGAAAGGAGAGACAGACAAACAAAAAAACCAGACTCTTAAATACAATGAATCATGGAACACTGCATCAAAAACTAATGATGTACTATACGGTGACTAACATAACATAATCTAAAAAATACAGAGAATAAGGTTGCCAGGTGTGGGTTGGGCAGGGGGTGTTGGGAGGAGACGGGTGGGGATGGAGGAAATGGGATAAAGAAGGAACGATGGGGGTGCCTGGGTGGCTCAGTGGGTAAGCCTCTGTCTTTGGCTCGGGTCATGATCCCAGGGTCCTGGGATGGAGCCCCGCGTCGGGCTCTCTGCTCAGCAGGGAGCCTGCTTCCCCCTCTCTCTCTGCCTGCCTCTCTGCCTACTTGTGATCTCTCTCTGTCAAATAAATAAATAAAATATTTTAAAAAAAAATCCAGATTTGGGGGAACCTACAGGACAGTGAGGGAAGCAGAAGGATGTTAGAACAATTTGGGTTTTTTGGCTCCGGCAACCAGGTGGACAGTGGACCCAGGAAGTGTAGCAGGGAACCCTGGGAAAGGGGTGTGTTTACGAGGGGCAAGATGGAGTGAAGCTTCGACCCCCGCACTTGGGGGTATGTCCTCCATGGGGCGTCTGAGTCAGAATATCTGGTTGGCAGTTGGAGCAATGGGTTTGGGGCTCACAAGTACGATTTCGCCGTGGGAGTCATCTCTTTCTAGGTGGTAAGAAGGGCTGATTGTAGAAAGAACTTGCAGCCAAGAGAACACAGAGGGACAGGAGCAGAGGCCCTAGGAAGGAACCCTGGGGTACCCCAACATTTAAAGTGAGCTGAAGAAAAGGAGCTTGCCAGTGTGGCCCAGAGGAGGAATGAGAGAGAAGGACCCGACCCTGCCTGGCCAGTGTGAGGGAAGCCAAAGGCAGAGAGAATTTTGGGAAAGAGGCGGTGGGGAGGGATACTGAACGACATGGTGAAATAGAGAACGACGGGACTCGGAGGCCCCATCATAACTAGCCACGAGTTATGTGATTGTCGACCTCGGAGAGGCGCGGTGGGGGGCAGAAGGGAGTAATTACAAACCGTTCTTTCTCTTTCCCACCAGAGCCACACTTCTTGAAAGGGTGGGGGAACGGCGAGGAGGAAGAGTTAAGGGAGCATTTCTTCAGGATGAGCATGTTGGCTTGCAATGTGGAAAGCAGCCAGGGCAGAGGGCAAAGATTTGGGTAACAGGTGTCCAGGATGGAGCGGGAGGAGGGGCAGGGACTAGAAATGAGCAGACAGGGGCACACGCCCTCCTCCACAGACGCAGACTAAAGCTGTGGGAGAGGGGTGCCTGGGTGGCTCAGTCAGTGAAACGTCTGCCTTCAGTTCAGGTCATGATCCCGGGGTCCTGGGATCAAGTCCCGCGTCGCCCTCCCTGCTCAGTGCAGAGCCTGCTTCTCCCTCTGCCCCTTCCCTCCACTCCGCTTGTGCTCCCTCTCTCTCTGATAAATAAAGAAATAAATCTTAAAAAAAGATAAAGCTGTGGGAGGGGAAGGAGAGGGAAAACTGAGGGAGTGCCCACCAGAGAGGTGAGCACAACTTCCCCCATCCCCAGGAGCTCCAGCTGCTCCTGTCCCTGAAGGGGAGCGAGTCCACTCCTTCAGAACCAGCGCCCCTGCAGGACTGGACACGTGCTGCCCCTAGGCCAGCTTCATGCTGGGAACAGGTACTGTGGGATCTCAGGGACCATCTGCAAACCTGGGCCCACAAGCACCCCCTCACTTCCTAATTGAGGCCGAACACTTCCTGAGAGGGGACTGAGCTGTAATAAAGGACATCCTATGGTGATTTCAAGTGTGGGACTTATGTCACACATCATGAAGACAGATCAGATGGCTCTTGTCGGCATAGGAAACCACTTTCAGAAACATGCCTCTTAAAGAAAAAAAAAAAGAAACATTCCTCTTGTCTGAAAGCATCTCAGATTCTGATTTGAGAAGTATGTCAGAGATTACCAACATCCCACGGTCAAAAAAAAAACTTGCCCTTGAACGCAGACACTAAGACAGTGCCTGAAGAGCATGAAGGTCAGCGACAAGTGCACAATGACTGCTACCCAGTCCCGTCATCTGGGCTTGACAAGGGGAAGGAGGGGAAGGAGCAGCTCAGAAATCTGGCGGGGCAGCCTGAGTCCAAAGAAGCAAATGGGCCCGTGAGCAGGGTCCAGGGCAAGGCTTCCACAGTCACAGGGTGGGCCGAGCTGGCTGGAGGGGTACCTGAAGGGTTTGCTGTCGGGGTCTGTGTCCTTGAAGCCCATCTCCTCCAGCTTGCAGCGCCGGTAAAGCTCGTAGTGCCGGCTGTGGGTCTGCTCCCGGAGGTCCTCCATGTTCACCCGGATCAGCATCTCCCGCAGCTTCACGAAGTCACAGTGGGCCTCGTTCTCCACTGCACAGCAGGGGAGGGGGGGTTGAAAGCGCACTGAGAGGAGGGCCAGAAGCAGCGGAAACGGACCGATCGAGAGGCGAGAGGCCTCCCGGCCACGTGGCCCCTCCATCTGGGTGTACGCAGCCTGCGAATTGGCCTCCTGATCCCCTTTTCCACGGAAAACACACACGGACAGTTACAAGGCTGACAATAACAGAAAACTGCAAAACCATAAAAAAAAAAAAATCTAAGAAGGCCGTCCGCGGCACCTCATGGGAATGTCTGTTTGCTCTGTGCTGCGTTTGCATTCACGGCAAATGCACATTCAGCCGTCCATCCCATGAAGTGTTCCAGCATCTCTGCTCCCAGTATTGTGTGAGGCACCGGGAATTCAGAAACGAAGTCATGGAGCCTTCCCTAAGGAGCTTACAGTGGAGTGGAAGATCGGAAGCAAACAGGCAAATGCAATGCAAAGATTACCAAAGCGGAGGCCTGTGCGGTGTAAGCCCAGAGGATGGGCGGGGGCCGAAAGTGCCCCAGCAGAGTGAAGGCTTCACCAGAGAGGCTCTTGAGGGAAAAATGAGAATGTATCAGGCAGATCGGGAAAGGGTCTCAATAATATTGAGACACAAGGTCTCAATAACATTAGGCAAGGTTACGTGGCTAGCAAGTGGCGGATGGGCGTGAAATGCAGGTGAGCTACGGGGTGGGGTGGGGGGGACAAAGGCTCCGAGCAGGCGCCAAGCCTCCAAAGAATAAAGGAGAACAACTAGGACCTCTAGACCACAGTGGCCAGGAAGGGTGTGGACCAAGGTGTGGCTTGCCTGAATGGTAGGTCGGAGATTCAAAGGAGGTGTGTTTTAGAGGGTAGATGGTGGACCGACAGCAGCAATGATGACCGGGCGAAGCGGATCCCACTTTCTGGCCCGAATGAAAGTGCCCCCCCTCAAAAGAGTAGGGCAAAGGTCTGTGGCTGTGTGCCTCCAGGCATGGCTCCCCTGGGTTACGGTGGGGGTGTCTGGCCTGACCATGAGGGACAGTGGTGTCTGAAATGACGAACTGGCCTAGTCACCCTAGGTTCTGTCTTCCAGGGCCTGGGAGAGGGGAGTGGGGGCAGGGAGGGGGTCTGGAATGACAGAGTGACCTTTTCAACGCTCACATCAGCTCACATAACCCCTCTGCTTGAGGCCCATGGCCCTGGGGCACCAGGAGGATTCAATGGAAGAGCATGCAACCCTAGATCTTGGGGTCGTGAGTTTGAGCCCCACACTGGGTATAGAGATTACTTAAATAACTGAAACTTTTAAAAAAATAAAAAAAAAACCATTGCACAGGTCACTTGGACAGAACAGTGAACTCCAACTTACATGAAAAACCTTCAAAAACCCCTCTGCCGGTTAGGTGTGCACTATCTAAATGGTAGGAAGTCACTGGAACCAGTTGGCTGGTTTCTCCTCATTTTACTCCACATGATTGTCTCTCAGACCACAGACTCATTCCCAGCTAGGACTATGGGTCCAGGAACCATTCACAAATGTTCCTAGCAGAGCATCTTGGCCCCAGATGGTAGAGACGACCAAAACCTAGCACGGCTCCAATAACCAGTCCTGTCCTACCTATGGAAAAATCCAGCGACCACTGGAGAGGCTCCGGTGTGCCCAGAAGCATGCTAGCTTTGTATGCGAAGTGGATAACTTCCCACCCACTTCCGGTTATTTGCTCAGTGGCAGGGATGAGCATATAGTCCATCAGTCGCCCTCTTGCACACGGTACCCCTCTAAGACCCAGCTTAGAGCTGAAGATTTGGAGGACCAGAAGCTTCTTCTACCCATGGCCAGTACCCTTGCTGTATCCACAGAACTGACTAGCTCCATGGGTAACTTACCACGGGTCAGGCAGACCACAAAAGGAAGTTTCCTGAGTGTATATACATCTGTTTTGAAATTGTATAATAACTGCATAAAATTTATATATATATATATATATATATATATATATATATACACACACACACAGAGAAATAAAGAAGAAAAAAATGAATACCAATATATCTACAATTCGGATGAAACAATACCAGCACCTTTGTGTCTCTGCCTGGACTTGAAACGAGGCTGAACCACTATTCTGACTTCGGGCTTTACCATCCTTCCTTCCTCTTTACTGTTTCGCCACTTACATATGAATTCCTAAGAAGACCGATCTTCTTCAGTGTCGTCTACTTTGGGAATTCACATCAATGAAGCCGTACAGCATGTATGCTTCTCTGATTTATTAAGCCCAGTCTTATGTTTCTGAGATTCACTCGTGTACGAGTAACTATAACCCATTCATTTTCACCACTAATATCCCATTAGATGAACGTTTTGCAATTCATCTGATCTATTTCAGATGGCTTTCTGGGTTGTCTGCTACTCATCTGCTATATTCTTGTACGTCTCCTGGTGCCCTAGGGGCACCTGAGGCCAATACCCATGTTTTCTTGAATGTTTTTGTTTTAGGAACTTCTCCATTAGAGACCAAGAGACCTGCTCATGGCAGAGAATTCAGGGGCAGGGCCAGAGCTGCTGGAAGCCGCAGCCATTTGAGTAGAGACCGGGAATGAGTTAGGGACTAGCCGCGCAGCGGCTGGACACAGGGAAAGGGGCCCTGTCTCCCGGAGACTCACTCACCCTGCACGGTGCCCCAAGGATACTGCCGCGCCTTCATCATCTTGTTGCCTATCTTCAGCTCCTCTGTGCTGCCGATGACAGCGAACGGCAGGTGCGCCTGGAACAGAAGGCAAACTGAGGCTTAGAGCAGTGCTCCCGGAAAAAGGCGTCAAGTGTCCCTTGATACAACCGTTGCCTGGCTCTGGGGCCCTGGGCCCATCACACCGTGGTGGTGTCCCTCCCCATAGCCATCACCAAGAGGCATTTCTTAAGCTCTGAACTGCGTGGGGCTAAGAGGCCTAGTTCAACTTCTGCCATCCAGAAATTCTCAATGACGTAGCCCCACACATAGGGAACAAAGACAGAAAAGCTGAATACTGAGTGGATACCCAGATCAGTGCACATGTGCTCGGGGGGACAGAGAGGCTAAAGGGAGCCAAGGGGGCTAGGATCGCTGTCCCCTCCCCGGAGTGTGAGAGCCCGGGCAGCCGGTATATACTAGAACCACACTGCTGACCGAGCTATGCGTTCCTTGTTCTCATCCTTCCCCGAAGCAAGAGCTCCCGCAGAACTCTTGAACCTAGAAGTCAAGTCCGCAGGTATTTTCCTATATGCCCATAACCCTACTGGGTTGTTTTAAGGGCCATAAGGGAGACAAAGGAAGTAGGAGACACTCACTCTTTCACCTTCTAGGAGCTTACAGTCTTGTTGGGAGCGCCAGAATTACACACTTGGAATCATATGAGACAGAACAGGCCTGGTTGATGAAGGTTTTGGAGGTCAAAGAAAAGACAACTGCCCACAGCTGGTAGTGGGGAGCTTGGGAAACACTCCCAGGTCCCCGTCTCCCAGGGAGCAGGCAGGTCGTAAGCACTGGGAGCCCTGGCCAAGTGGGACCGCTGAACAAACACTGTTTCTAAACCAGGTGATCCTGGGTGGGGCTTTACTCAAAAGGACTCGCCCCAGACAAGTGCAAGGTCACTGGAGCAAGCTTTCTTTGGACTCATTTGCAGCCTGATCCGTGCTATGCGTATTTACTGAACCCCTACTATGTGCTGGACATGACCAGGACGATGTTGAAAAAGCTCAGAGCCCTCTCCTGGAGAGCGCATAGTCTGGTACGGGAGAGAGACACGCCGATAATAACAATGCGGTAAAGTCTCGATTAGAAACATAGGTTCAGGGGCGCCTGGGTGGCTCAGTGGGTTAGAGCCTCTGCCTTCGGCTCAGGTCATGATCCCGGGGTCCTGGGATCGAGCCCCACGTCGGGCTCCTTGCTCTGCGGGGGAGCCTGCTTCTCCCTCTCCCACTCCCCTTGCTTGTGTTCCCTCTCTGTGTCTCTCTCTGTCAAATAAATATATGAAATATAAAAATATAAATTATACAATTAATTAATATAAATAATAACTGTATGGAAAATCCATATATTCATATATTCATACATATATTCAGAGAAGCCTGGCTCGTGCTGTTTGGTTGTGCTGTTAGGCAAGTTACTTGATTGCCCTAAGCCTTGGTTTTCTTCACCCATAAAATAAGGATAATAATGCCTGCCTCAGAAGGTTGTTGCAGGGGCGCCTGGGTGGCTCAGTGGGTTAAAGCCTCTGCCTTCGGCTCAGGTCATGATCCCAGGGTCCTGGGATCGAGCCCCACGTCGGGCTCTCTGCTCAGCGGGGAGCCTGCTTCCTCCTCCCTCTCTGCCTACTCTCTCTGTCAAATAAATAAAATCTTTAAAAAAAAAAAAAAGGAAAGAAACACAGGTTCAAGAGCTGGAGGAAGAGAGAGCGGCTCACTTCATAAAGTCAATGCCGGTTTCACAGAGGAGGCAGCAGCAATTTTACCAACAGCTGGGGTAGCTACAGAACCGGCAGGAGCAGCAGTGGCAGCTCACACGTCTTGTTGACGCTTTTCAACCGCACTGCGACTTAGGCATTCTTATCCCCATTTTATAGACAAGGAAACTGAGGCCCAGGTGCCAGCAGGCACACAGCAGTGAGGGCCAGAGCTAGGAATGGAACCCAGGTCTCTCTGGCTTCAGAGCCCACCACTGGTCTGTCACACCCACGGAGGGAGTCCGAGCAGCAGATGGGGTGAGCGCTCCAAACCCTGGGGTGACCTGGCTGTGCAAGGTCAGAGGATAAGAAGCAGCTGGATTCTGGCAAACCTACAGCAAATGTCTTTTGTTTGCCTGATCTGCTCGCTGATGTCACAGCCAATCCTTCCTCTTCCTTCTCTTTAGCACCTGCCCCCCAAGAATGTTCTTCAGGATGGAAAACCATAGGACTCATCAGGAGATCAGCTCTAGGACACTTGCAAGTCCCCCGAAGAGCTTGGTATGCCCCTGAGGGGACTCTCCCGTCACCTTCTGTCAGCTGCTCTCAGAGCATCTCCTCAGCAACCCCCTCCACCCCTTCCCACTCCGCTCACTGTGCCTGAAGTGGGGACAGAGGAAAAAGGAGGTTAAGGGTACATGGAACACGGGCTGGGGTGGCCGCAGGAAATGTTGCATTGATCCTAGGAGGAGACTGGACGTGAGGGTCGTTGGGTGTGTAACACACAGGGCGCGATGGGGGCACTGATGTCGGAGGGACATACGGGCATTCCCACTCAGGACCCCAAGATAGGTGGGGACCCTCAAATCCACCCTCAAGCACTTTCTGGGAAAATACCACCCCTCCTGCCAAGAGCCAGGGCTTCAGCCACGAGACACAAAAGAGCCAGAGGGCAGCGATGGCAAAGGACTAGACCGGGGGAGGAGGTGAGAAAAAGAACCTTCTGGCGCATTCCCGGTTCTTAGCCGAAAGTGATGGAGGGGGCTGTGTGAAATGGGCAGGGATTTCTCTGGGCTCAGGAGGAAACGAGGGAGAAAAAAAAAACCCAAGGAGAGAAAAAAGGCATTAAAAAAAGATCAGTTTGTCTTCCCTTGGGCCTGTTAGATTTCTCCCCACAGGCCTTGGTTAGTTAGGGGACAGGGTCACTGGCTTCCCCTCTTGCTCACCGCACGGTCATTCTAGCCCTTGCCCACGGCAAGGAAGGCCCAGCCCCCGCCATGGCTCCCGAGACCTCTCACGGCACACCCTTGGCAACCAGCAGCAAAGTCTGTTCTGATAAGCATCCACAAGCGGAATTTTCTGGGTGCTGCTGGGCAGCTCTCACTGGCTTCTAGCGACAACCCTATGGGGCAGTTCTCATGCTCTCATCCACTTGCAATCTGGGGAAAACGACTCGCCCAGGTCCCTAACTCCTGGGCCCAAACCTTGCCAGGGAACAGTAAGGCCACTGTGCTTTTGCTGCCGGACCCTCCTGGCCCCCCGCTGCCACTCTCATGCTGACTCCTGGCTGAATGGCATTTGCTGGAAGCCAGCTAGCCACGAAGGGCAGAAAAGCATGGGGCCGGGCTTTGGCCCACCTTCTGCTGCTCTTGAGTGTGGGGTGGTTTAGATGACCCAGAGAGAGTCAAGCAGAGCAGGGACAGGGTACACCCTCCAAGCAAACACCTTCCCGGGGGTGGCACTTTGCAGCTATGGGCCCAGGAAGGAGACTCTGATGGCAGCAGGACGGCACTGCCCCTGAAACGCAGGGGGAAGGGTCCCCCGACATCAGACATCCAGTCTCCAAAAACTCTGAGAAGCTCTCAAGCCTCCTCTTGGGAGTCTGTTCTCAGATTCAGTACCTTTCCTGTCTCGTGTCTACCTTGCATTCCTCTCAGTATATTTTGAAGGGTTGGATGGGGGTGCCTGGGTGGCTCAGTCAGTAAAGCGTCTGCCTTCAGCTTGGGTCATGATCTCAGGGTCCTGGGATCAAGCCCCGAGTCAGGCTCCCTGCTCAGCGAAGAGCCTGTTTTTCCTCTCCCTCTGCGTGCTGCTCCCCCTGCTTGTGTTCTCGGTCTCTCTCTCAAACAAATAAAAATAACAAAATCTTTAAAAGTAAATTAAAAAAAAAAAAAGGTTGGGTGACCCAGTTGGCATGACTTAGTCTATTCCAGTTCCAGAACATCCATTATAGTTGGGAAGTTGGATGACCTTTCTCCTCTAAGGGCCTTCTAATAACGAACGCATCTCGGGGGTACCGATGGGCAGCAAGGCGGGCAGACACAATGACTTGCCGCCCCGCTATGCTAATTTGTTTGCCAAATTCTAGAAGGTAGCAGCTGATACCGTAATGATAACTCAGGGGCGGTGGCAGCTGGAAAGTTTTCTAAAAATGGCTTTTATTACCAGTCTTTCCTGAGTCTGGCTATACCCGGGCATTATGTCATTAGGAAAAACTGATGCCTCTCAACAGAGAGAAAAAAAATCTGTTCTCAAAGCAGAGGCTTTCTGAAAGCTATTAGCTGTCTCCTTGAAATCACAACATTGAAAAGTTCACAGCAACAGCATCAACACATTGTAAAGAAGCTTGAAGAGATGTCTGACTCCTGCCTTGCTCATTACGCATTCCTCTAGGTTGGGGGGGGGGTGGTGACGTGGGAGAGGAGAGGAAAGATGGCAAGTCGGGACGCTTTTTTTTTTTTATTCATTCACACTTAATAAAGCAAAGCATCACCCTGAAACTTAAAAATAACATTTCTCTAGTCACCAGAAAAATTGGAGGCTAGATGTCATTTTTTCCTCCCTCGGTGGGGAGAGGGCTCGATGATGCGGAGTCTCGGAAGCCAACCAGCTTTCCCTGCTGTGGTTGTCATGGCATTGTTTTGGTCAGAGAGGAAGACTGTTTGCCTTTCTGGCAGTCCCGGGGGTTTGGGGGGAGGGCTGGTTTAGACCGAAGAGGAGGGTGGAAGGAGAGGTCCGAATCCTCGGTTCCAGACTCTTCCTAAAGTTGGCCTTTCCCTCCCTCCGTCTCTAGCTATTAATCTCTGCATCTCTGAGGCATTGAAGCAGCCAAGGATAAGGGAGAGGAGCTGTTTGGGTTCTGGATTCCTTCTCATAAACACCGGAGATGCAGACGATGGAGAGTTGACTGCAGTAAAATGAATGGTGTTGTTCGACTAGTTTGTAACATAATAAACATAGGGGCGCCTGGGAAGCTCAGTCAGTTAAACGTCTGCCTTCAGCTCAGGTCATGATCCCAGGGTTCTGGGATCGAGCCCCACATCTGATTCCCTGCTCAGCAGGGAGCCTGCTTCTCCCTCTCCTTCTGCCTGCCATTCCCCCCTGCTCATGCTCTCTTGCTCTTTCGCAAAAATAAATAAATGAAATCTTTCTAAAGAAGAAAAATAATAAAAATAAGCAGCAAATGGTCAGCAAGTTGAAGCCCTCTGCCCACACTCACGTTCATGGTTCCATTGATCTCTGCCACTGACTCATCATCTGTAGGGAATTGGTAGATCTGGACCCCGTTGCTGACAAGTTCGCTGGTGATTTTGATTTTGAACTTTGTTAGCTCACTCTTCGAAATGGCATCTGATTTGGCGATGATGGGGATGATGTTCACCTGGGGAAGGAAGGCGCAAAGCGGAATCTCTGTTGGTAATCTGCGACCGATAGCAGCATGACAGAGGACTTCCACGAGCTCAAACCACCAGCCCAGGACTGGCCACCTCTGTAGCCAAATCACAGCATAATAAATGACGATGGGGGCCGCTTACTCAGTGCTGTGTGCTGAACTAAGTGCTTTACATGGATTAACACAATTAATCTTGAAGACACCCCTCTCACTTTACCGATGAGAAACTGAGGCACAGAGGGGCTAGGTAACTTGTCCAAGGCCACAGAGCAGTAAGTAGCAGAACTGGGATCCAGATCCAACTTTGGCCTTCTTCCTAATTCCACAGTCTTAACCAGCTCAGCTCCAAATCGATGAGCTGTGTGATACCTTAATATCGAGGTCACTGCTTGAGTGATTCCAATCAGAAAGATGACAGTTGGGAATCTGTGCTTGACAAGAAGGGCAGGGGGCCTCTCCTTGTCAACAGTAAATTGTTCCAACCTACCCAGGGCAGATTTGCCCCAGCGTGTTAGGGACCCACCTCCTTTCTAGCAGCAAACTTATGAACCAACCCGGCTGGAGGGAGAGGACCCTCTCAGTCTCCGGTATGATCTGAGACCTCAAGCAAACAAGAGTTACCCTGCCTGTTTTGCGATTAATTTCTGCACAAAGCAAGCAGGTGGATATGTCCAATTGCCAACAGCAGGACAAAGGCCTAACGCCACACCAAGGTTCAATCCACCTGAACCCTGGCCCTTGAAATGACTCCAAGGAGGGACAGGGCTTTTGCGGCGGGAAGGTAAAGAATTGTGACACGCACGTGTCTTCGTGAGACAGAGCACACCTGGGCTCAGGTTCACGTGCAGAGCAGAGGCGTTGCCACCAGCAGACTTGGGGCAGGGGGTGGGAAGCATCATCAACAGTCCTTGGGCCCCAGGAAGAGCTCTACACTTGGAGGCTGAAGCCAGCCTGCTTTATGCTTTATCTGAGGAGTACCCGCAAAGGTTGTCTCCAGTTTCACACTCAGATCAGAGAAAGATGGGACCCTACAGGTACGCTCCTTGAAGTCTTCGAAGGACACAGGGCAGCGGGGGGGTGGTGGGAGGGTCAATGCCGTTGCCAAGGTGGAACAGCAGACAGAGCCAATTCTCCTTGTCACTTTCCACCATGTCCCCATGGACTCAGGACCAACATGTGCCAAAGGCTGATTAACTCCACCCAACCCACCCACCAGGCCACAGGTGCGTGGCTCTCTGCTGCCCCATACAGGACACGCAGGGCATAGCGACCTTTCCAGAGCAGCCCAGTGCTCGTGCGGGGTGAGCATCCTGGGGCAAAAAAATGAAAAATTTGCTTCTATTTTGATTTGAGCTGAAAGTGTCTTTTTATCATGGATAGGCTACTAAGTAATGCATATAAATTAGAATTTCACAAAATAAAATACCTTGGAGTCAGAGACAGCCAGGTCCAAATCCTGGACCCCTTCCTTACAAGTTGTCTGACCTACAGAAAGCTACTTGGCTCTCTGTGCCTCAGTGTTCTTGTGAGGAAGTGGGTATAATGGTAACCATCACCCTGGATTCTTGGAAGGATGAAATAAAATAATGCATATATGGTACTCGCCCCAGGGCCAGGCACATAGGAAATGTTAGAAGGAAATTGGATTAGGCTTTTTTAAGGAATCTTGCCTTTATTCTTTTGTACAGTAAATAGTCCTTTCAGAGGACAAATTCTTGTCTGATTTCCGTCTGGCGTGGGACTTATATTTTTTAATTCCTTTCAGGGAAGGACACAACTGATTCCCGCAGCCACCTTTCTTGGGCCTGGAGGCCACAGAACATGGTGCCAGGGATCCGAGTTCGAATCTAGACTCTGCCAGGAGCCAGCTGCATGACAACAGGCAAGTCCCTTAACCTCTTAGAGCCTCCGTGTCTCCTCCAGTAAGTGGGGGATAATGACGGTGTTTGCCTTACTGGGCTGTGAGAATTCCAGGAGACGGTCCAGAGGGTGCTTGCCTCAGACTGGCATATAATGAGGATTTAGCAAACATTAGCTGCTGTTACTAAAATTATTACTGATAATAGAAATAGTAACTTTCAAAATCCAGTTTGCCATGTTCGATTCTCGAACAGGCCAGTTAATCTTGGGGCAAAGAAGAAAACACCTCTCCGTTGCCAAAGGCTAAGCCCCTAGGCCCAGGTGGCCATCTTGCTTGCAGCCACCCTTAACCCCCAGAGGGATCAGGGCAGAAAGATGGCTCAGGGTAAACCCATGCCCCTCGCCGGGAAAACAGATCACAAAGCATACAACGCGGGTGCTGGATCAACAACACCATCTCTCTGGAGGATCAGGGAATGAAGGGGAGGATGAGGAGGCCCCAGATCGTCTTCTGCAATCTGGCACCTGCATGGCCCGAGAGACCGGTAAGGGGGATTTCCGTGTGCCCGTCCTCCCGCCCGCCCTCGCCCCTGCCTTCGTACCTTACTGTCCAGCTTCTTCATTGTCACGAGGTCCAGAGACTTCAGGGAGTGGCCCGTGGGGGCGATGAAGTACAAGCAGGCGTGGATTCGGGAGTCGTGGTAGGTGTGCAGTACCCTGCGGATCTTTAGCTCTTCCTGCAGGTAAGCCTCGAACTGGGCGTCAATGAATTCCACGATGGGCTTGTAGCTGCGGGGTGGGGTGGGGGAGAGCAGGGACGTGGCCCGACCGCTTCCAAACCAGGACTTTCAGGACAGTGTCTTCTCAAAGTTTAAAATGCCCTGGGTCATCTGACTCTCCCCATCCAGCTGGGTTCCTCCATATCCCATCGACCGTCCTGCCTGTCCCGTCGGGCCCGCCACCTCCTTGGTCCAACTTCTGCTCCAGGCGTACCTTCGCTCTAGACCACCCGCGTCTCCCTTCTCATCCCAGTCCTGCCCTCCCACCCCTCAGGGTCATGGACTGTCCACCTCCTCTTCCACACAGCCTTCCCCACTTTTGCCAGAAATCCCTTCTCTGACACCGGAGCATAAAATAATAATAATAATAATAATAATAATAATAATAATTAGGCTATCGGATCACTTACTATCACTTGCCAAGGATGACCGTTCCCTCAAATAGACTGTCCCTCTGAGGGCCAGAGGCCACAGAGGGCACTCCTCTCTCCCCCATGGGGGCCTGAGGCAGCGTGGGGCCCGCGGGCAGTCCCGGGGGTGGGCTGACTGTGCTCCAGGTTGGTTCCGCATCCGTGCTCCCTGCGTCTCCTCCCAGTGCCTACTGTGGGAGCTGGGGACCTGGTGGGGGCTGGGACCGCTCCTTGACCCACTGCGGGGGGAGCTTGTCAGAACAGCCTGGGTTCTGCTCAGTCTCACTGGGTTTATGGCACTGCCCACCAGCTCCCCTAAGGTCCACATATTTTTCCAGTTTTCATTTCCTCCAAGAGTATGACTTTAAAATCTAAGCATGTGGACAACATTTGGTAAAGATTGTCCACCCCCACACACGTACACACACACACACACACCCAGCTCACAGTCTCTACACACAGTCCCCTTTGTGACCCCAAGTCTTGCCAGGGCGTCTGAAACCAGAGCCAGTCCTCTGTTCCTCCCTGTCCTGGGAAGCTTCTCTCTTCTCTCTGGGGCCATTTCTGCCACCTCTGCAGCCTGCCTCAGCTCTAACTAGGTCAGCGTGGCTTCAGCTCTGCCTCTGCTCTCATCCCCCCACCAGCCTGTCCGCTGCCTCACCACCCAAGCCAGAAGTTTGTTCTCAAACCCAGCTCGGTGAGCTGGCAGAGACAGAAACAGAATCAAAGAGAGCAGGGCCCGGCCAATGCTTCCCACCGGCCGCAGCTCCCAACTGGAACCTTTCTGAAAGATCCCCCTGCTAGAGAAGGGAAAATAGCTTACAAAAAAAAAAGAACCCCTAAATCCTAGATTCTGAGCACTACATACAGAGAAGAGATCCAGGTGCAAGGTATCTTGGAGCCCCAGAGAAAATTCTAAAAATAAAATCCTTTTTTTTTTTCCTTCCTTTGAGCCTTCTGAGCCAAACATCATTCTGAAGGCGAACAGCATCCAAGAATCTCTTGGTTGCTGAGGTCCTTAGGAGGTTCCTGAAGAATTAGGAGCAAGGGAGGGGGTTGCACCACTTTGACCTCTCTAAGTAATTTTTGGATGATTGGCTCATTTGAATTATCAAATTATGGCACTGCTTCTTTTTTTTCCCTCCTTAACATAACTTTTTTTTTAACTTCGTTTTTTTTTGTTCTGCAAAAGGAACCAGAGGAGGAAAGAAGAGAGTGCGTTTTGAGTTTTTTCTCGCCCTCCCCCACCCCTCAGTCTCTGGTGGTGCCCTGGGCCTATCTTTCTGCTGCCGCCTCAGGCCCTTAGGAGTCTCTGAATCAGACCAGCCAAACCGGCCAATCCTGGGTGATTCATCTTTGTCCTTCTCCTTGGTGTCCAACTTACCCAGAATATAGGAAGGATTCCCCACCCCATTCTGCTGTGCTCACTGGCCTCCAGTCTGCCATAAATCAAATCCCTCACTCCCACAGGCAGTGTCTGCACAAATGTTTCCTTCTCCCAGGCAATACCCGACTCCCCTTCAAAGACAAGGCTTCCCTCATGTGCCTTCTCAGCTGGAAATTTCTCTGTGTCTCACACCCAGGTTCCGTGGAATGATGGAGAAGGCAGCTTTCTTCTCCCACTCATCACTCCCCGGCCTCCTGCAATGGCTTCCAGCTGCTACAAAACCCAGTTCTAAGGGGCACCTGGGCGGCTCTGTGGGTCGGGTGTCTGACTTTGGTTTTGGCTCAAGTCGTGATGTCAGGATCCTGAGATGGAGACCCGAGACAGCCTCTGCGCTCAGCAGGGAGTCTGCTTGAGAGTCTCTCCGTCTGCCCCCCATCCCAGCTCATGTGCACGCAGGCGCACACTTGCCCTCTTGCTCTCTAAAAGAAAGTCTTCCAAAAAAGCCCAGTTCCAACATAACCCACCCCTCCTCGTCACTACTGCGTGTCTTTCACATTTTAGGGCAGGAGCTCTTAACCTGGGGTCCACAGACTTCCAAGGGGTCTATGGAGAGAATTCATAGATTCCACCAACTTGGGTAGGAAAAAACCACATCATTTCCACAGAGCCCTCACCGAGGCTTAGTGGTTTTTCAAGTACAAATGTAGGTAACGATCTACAGTAATTTTAGCAATATCTGTGATTTCACAGTCAATAGAAATCACTGATGCTTTTGCTTCCTATTACAGTTGTTGCAAACAGCTCAAAATAGCAGTTATACTTACACACCTTCTAAATTATGATAGTTATTCAAGCTGCACGTAGATATTACTTCAGGAACTAATAAAGTAATAGGGGTTACCAACTCACAAATTGAAAATATTTCGGGAAGTGTATTGTTAGTATAATGGGCATATTTTAGGTATTTAAGACGGTTATCTGAAGAATGAGTCCACAGACCTCACTAGATTGCTAAGAAGTCCAAAGGCACAGGACAGTTCCTGGTCTGGGGCGCCCGGGGGGCTCAGTCGGTTAAGCATCTGCCTTCGGCTCAGGTCATGATCCCAGGGTCCTGGGATTGAGCCCTGAGCCGTACATTGGGTTCCTTGCTCAACGGAGCATCAGCTTCTCCCTCTCCCTCTGCTCATGCTCGCTCTTAAATAAATAGATGATAATACTTTAAAAAATATTAAAAAAAAACAATTCCTAGTCTGGATGCTACTTCTTACTCCTTTCGATAATAGGGATAAAAAGTGATCGTGAAGGCTTCCCTGACAATGTGACCTTTAAGCTGCACTGCATGGATGGGTATAAGAGAGGGAGAATCTGGGAGAAGAGCATTCCGGAGAGGAATAACAAAGGTAATGGTCCAGAGGCAGAAATGAGCTTGAGGAGATTTGCAATAGGAAGAAGGCAAGGGAGCTGGGAGCTAGTACAGAAAGGAGGAACTATTCACAGTTGTCAAAAGATGAAAACGACCCAGTAACCATCAACAAAATGGGGGAGAGCCAGACAATGGAATATTACTCAGTCTCTAAAAGGAAGACAATTGGGGCGCCTGGGTGGTTCAGTGGGTTAACCCTCTGCCTTCAGCTCAGGTCATGATTCCGGGGTCCTGGGATCGAGCCCTTCATCGGGCTCCCTGCTCAGTAGGGAGCCTGCTTCCCCCTCTCTCTCTGCCTGCCTCTCTGCCTACTTGTGATCTCTCTCTCTGTCAAATAAATAAAATCTTTTTTAAAAATGGCTACCTAACTGCACTGGTATTCATTAGAATTGTTTTCCAGATGACTACCTTGGGTTTCTTAAACAGCCGTATTCTAGAAAACTAATGATTCTACCCCTCAGCAAGCACTTTTCTTTTTTTTTTTTTTTTTAAGATCTTATTTATTTATTTGACAGAGAATGAGTGAGAGAGAGCATGAGAGAGGAGAAGGTCAGAGGGAGAAGCAGACTCCCCATGGAGCTGGGAGCCCAATGCGGTACTCGATCCTGGAAGTCCAGGATCATGACCTGAGCCGAAGGCAGTTGCTCAACCAACTGAGCCACCCAGGCGCCCTCAGCAAGCACTTTTCAACTATCATCTTTCTAGACACTGATGACAAGTCCCTTCCTGAAACACTGCCCTCTGGCTTCCTGCTGCCATTCTCTCCTGCCCCCAGAACTCTTCTTTCTCACTCACCCTAAATATTGGCCTGTCTCAAAGGTTCCGTCCTGGACCATGTTCTGCCGTCATTCTACACATTGCACACATGTGATCCTTGGGTGGTCTCGTGCATTCCACGGCTGCAGTGCTCACCGCCCCCCAGTCACGCTTCCTAAACACCTTCCTAGACGCTTCCTAGACACCTCCAGGTCACCCCAGTCTCTTCCCTCTCCCATGTGCCGTCCTCTGCGTAGCCACAGCCATCGGAGCGCCCCCACAACCAGAACCCTACAAGGCCCGGTCACACACAGTGTGCTTGACACAATCGTCTCAGCCAGCAACACCAAGGAGGCACAAGGTCAGAGCCGAACGTGCGGGCTTATAGGAACTGCAGACTCCCCGGTCCCACCTGGAAGTCCTCTCCCACAGCCTGTGTGCCTTGGGGTCAGCAGGGTGGGCCTTCCTGCAGCTCCCGGTGCCACCTCGAGACAATTCCTCCTCTACCTCAGCGTAAAACCTTTTTTTCGCCCGAGACCTATTCTGTCGTCTTCTGGCGGTGCCTGACCCACGCGGTCTCTCTCCCAGTCTGGGTGACAGCAGTCAGCAGTGTGCTCCTGGACAACCCGTCAGACTTCAGCCTCTTTATTCCCTGATTGTGCAAACTCTACAACTCTCGGGCTCCGTCTGCTTCAGCCACCGACACACCTTACCATTGGCCACATCAGCTTCCCCCAAGACATCCTCTAACTCCCTGCTCTCTGACCATGACCTCTCACCTTTCCAACCCTCTTACACCTTGGGTCCTCCTCCACCTGACCTTTTGCCTCACGGACTCTTAGGGTACCCTGACCTCTCTACTGTCTCACCGGCAATGAGCCCCTCGCTGGCCTCATCTCCTTCTCCACCCAGGCCGAACCTCATGACTGATTAACTGAAACACTCTTTTATCAACGCCTTCATCTCCCCTCCACCCTAGTGGGCCAGCAAATTGCTGCGCTGAAAACATTTCGGGATCTGCCCTCTGCTCCCAC